GCTGACACCCTGTCCGCGTCCGCTGATACTCTGTCCGCTGGCGGCCTGCCGCTGCGCCCTCCGCTGACGCCCTGTCCGCTAACACCCTGTCTGCTGACACCCTGCCCGCTGACACCCTGTCCGCTGATACTCTGTCCGCTGCCGCCCTGCCGCTGCCGCCTGTTCGCTGGCACCCCCGGGGCGACAGCGTGCGGCCTGTGGTGACGGCACAGACGGCTGCGCTGGCCGGTGCCGACTGCAGTGTGTCGAGAGGTGCATTATAGACGAGACCGTTAACCAACTTTTTGTTGCTTTGTAAACATTTCAGTCACTAAGCTCAGCAAGGCGACCACCAAACACAAGAGTTTTCATAACTGGGCTGCACACGCAGCATGGCCAAGTCGTGCTTGCCTGCTGCCACTTTCTGCAGTTAGTACAGAGTCTGTGGTGGTGATATTTTGGAAAAGACATCAACTGGAAGTGTTGTCAGGCTGCAATAGGGCATGGGCTAATGAAATGTCACAATACTGGAAAAATATCATGAAACCACCTTTCCAATATCCTTCTTATCGTTCGAGCCTTTATTGAAAAGTATTTCAAGGGTACATTTCACTGCACAGCCGTTTCACCAAAAATACTTTTTGTCGTTGACTTCCAGTTCAAATTGCTCAACCGCAACCACTTGGAATTTTGTCTTCGCGTTTCAAGTTAATCGGTGTTTATTTTTCCTCGCATTGCGGCCATATAGCTGCAATGTGACAAGAGAAATCCACTCGCGCTGCAGCTTGGTCAAGTATGATCTACGAGCTATAACACATCATAGGCCATGCATATCGAATGCATGATTATATGGTCATCTACGCTCATGATGCTTAGATGACACCATCAGTCAGCGTCTCATGAGGCGTAGGTGACACCATCATTAAGCATACCATGAGGCGTAGATGACACCATCATTAAGCGTCCCATGAGGCGTAGCTGACACCATCATTGAGGGTCTTATCATGCACAGCCGACACCATCATTAAGCGTCCCATGCGGCGTAGATGGCACCATCATTAAGCGCCTCATGAGGCGTAGAAGGCACCCTCAGTAAGCGTCCCATGAGGCGCTTTCACGCGTGATTTAGCCAGTCCCGTCACGTCCACCGATGTCCTGCTGAGCTGGGCGGAAGCTCAGGGGATGTCGTCTGGATGCCGGGTGCGGGCGGACAATGCCGCACGCGCAGGGACGAATAACTAGGTCATTAGTGGAGGCCGTGACTATCCCTGCCGCCACCGCCGCCGCCGCCGCGCCGCCAGAGGCGTAGCGGCGACAGCCGCCCGCCCGGCCGAGGCGTGGCTGTTCATAGAGCTAAACGTTTCCTGAGGGTTCGCGTGACAAATGATGCAGGCTCATTGGTCCGCGTGCTTGCCGGCACGAGTGGAGAATACTGAGAAATGTTGGCGTGACACACCAACCGGCAGTCGGGACTGACATCTTTGAATGGTTAAGCGCGGACGTTAAGGACAGTTGGCATGGCTTGAGCGACACCCGTGACCGCCAGCCACACCCGCCCTCTTCACCGATGTGGCTGACACTGCCTTTTTTGCGTTGCGCGTCGATAATGACCCATCACTCGTGAAGGAAATGAACCGTCACCCAGCATCATTTAATCTGCATTCGCGTCACAGTCAGTAATATGAATGGACAGAGTGCTCAGTAGACTGGAAATAGCCGTGCATTGAGACACTCCAACAATAAACCTGCATATTTTCCGCACTCCCCAGAGACATGCAGTCGTTAGTGCCATGCAACCACTTCAATTTTCCCCGGTGAATGTTTTTTAGCACTGGTAAATTGGTGAATTGGTGAAGGTGATTTTGTTTAGCACTGCTGCCGTCTCGTAGCAGCGTCACGACGTTCGATCACGCGAAAGAAGGAATGCACGCGCTCGAAATTAGCATTTATAAATTCTCCGAAGTACTAAAATGCGGTGCGTTGTCTTAAGAACACTGTTTTATCGTGGAAGCATGCGCAAGAGCACGATATCCAGCATTGGCCAACTCCTGCGCTCTCTGTGCCGCCAGTGTGCCTTGCCGTTCCCGTGTCGGCTTTCATATGTAAAATTGCGCGCTGTAATTGCTGCCTATCTGCTGTTGCCTATACGCGCAAAGGGAAGTGTTTCACACTTGTATGGGGTTTTTAACCGGAATAGCCATCTAGAGGATCATTCGTTGCAGTTCAATTAAGATCTAATTACCCTAGTTTCTGAGCTATACGCCCGCGAAGATTGTGTTGTGCGCAAGGTAAGATAGCGTAGCCAAACCATAACGTATTGATGAGTTAATTTACTAAACAGAGAAATTGTGCTCTCTAGAGCAATCTTTTCCACTTAAAATTATATCAATAGTTATGAGCGAGCTATTTTATCATATATGATGTTTGCTTCACTATGTTCAAATGAAGTTCAGGTACGTCGTTCAAATACAATTCCCTTTAAATATTTTGATGAAAAGGCAGACACAGCAGGTTGATCT